TTTGGATGGTACTATACTAACGTATTTCAGTGGGAACAAGATATTGGCTAGTTGTTCGTCGCCGGTATGGGCATACCATTGTGTTGACACACGCCCATAACATCTTACCCATTATGGACCAGGACCACTTGTTTTGTGAAGCATCTACTGCTTTTGTGAAGCATCTACTGCATATCCATACTTGTCTTGCTATGCATTATCCATTCTGTAGACCTTTACAATCAATACTGCATTGCGCCACATACTTATTCATTTTTATCCTTTTGAATGTTCCCCAGGCGCACTGCAACCTGGCCATTGTGTACCTGGAACAGAACGAGATGGACATGGCTGTGAAGAGCTACGACGAAGCCATTCAACTCTCCTTCTTCGAGCAGGATTTGACAACTATTTACGGGTTTAGAGAGGCGGCTATTCTGCGGAAAAGCCTCATGACTGACAGCGTCCTGGCTGGCACAGTACCGAACTTTGGTTGATACGTATACTCATCTGTCTGGGCTGCCAATCCGTTCCCGGTGTGAATAAAATAAAATTGGGATTGCCATTCCTATCAATAACACCTAACGATACTTACCCCCCCCGTTGCTGTATTAGGATAGCCTCGCTTATTTCTGTGCTTGCCCGTGTGTGCTTTCCCCCCCCCTTCGATCTATGATAACGAATCAATATGCCATAGGGTTATGAGTGTATTGTTAACAATTGACATATCGTGAAGCCCGAGTATCTGTGTTTCTATCGAGTTTCTATCGAACTCATTCGGACGCACAGTCACTGTCTGAGGATTTTCTGTCGCCCCTTCTCTGTATTTTGAGGGTGGTTTGATTGCACATGATTGCCAACTGCTGACGCGACACCCATCTGCGCGTCTGTTGTAGTGTAGCGCCTATGAATGTACCCGCAACGTGGGCGGCATAGTACTACATGTCTAGTACGATAATAAGTTCTTGCCTTGTCAAGCGTTTGCACATTTAACTACTTTAGTACGAGTAGGTACACATTTGCCTGCTGAGCGGGTTTATCTATTCGCAATTGTGTTTCATCTCCGACGTAGGTTTCTACCAATTGTGACATGTTTAGGGAAAGCAATTCCCGTATCCCCCGTAAAGATATTGAAGGAATTCACATGGGCCGCCAATCGCCGCGGCAAAGCTATCCCACCACTTACTGACTGACTCACACTAATAGACGGCCGATTGTTATCGACTATACCAACTCCATAAGGTCTACCTTTTGGGGATAAAGATTTCTATTTCATAATTTTCGGGGTTTGCGGCCACAAAATGAGATCTTTTCTATATTGGGATAGAGGATATAGCAGGAACGAAGAATACCCTAGGGCATCAAAATGGATATGATGTAGGATCGTTAGCTGCAAGTAGGCTCAGGTGTACACACAACTATCAAAAGACACTCTTGTCGAGGCTGAGTGATCCGTAATCGTGACAGGAGTTTCATGCGTATAAAGCAAAAATAATAACAGTTAGTGTTGTGAGTTTCCGACAGACATAAGCCGACTTGGTAGATGCAAGTAGTAATAACCACCTTCACAACTAAAGAGGATCAATGGTAAGAATAATAGCCTTCTTGATCTATTTTCCGAAGGAATTGAAGTACCTCATAACCTGTCTCTGACATAAAGTCCTGGCTAAAGGGCAGGTTCCGATACGGCCAAAGTCTGTACAGGAGCGTGTCGGTGGTACAATTACCTCAGTTTGCCCTAGCCAAACAAGCGCAGGCTCATTTTTTGAAGTCCGTGTGATTTAACCCATAGAATACACACAGACACTCTCGTTTAAACAAGATACTTTCCTCAACAATTTTGCATTATCAATATATACGTAGCCTGAGTCAGGCTAAATTCATACCCCCTAGTATTGTGTAGCATTTCTCCCTCCGGGACCCCACAGGGGTGTACGCTACGTAGGGACAACGGTGCTGTATATAATGATTCACTTATCAAACGGGGTGGCACGTTCTATTGCATAGAGTTAAAGCGAAGCAGCAGCGTGGTGAATCCATTAAAGCACAGGATATACCAATATAAATTAAGGACTGTTCTCGTCAGTATTGGTCTCATGTTCCAATAACGCTTACGAGCACGCCAGGAGTCCTATAGGACCGTTTCGGCCCTAGTGAGAGACTTGGATTTAGACCTGTTCAGTGAATAGTAAACCGCTAACAGTCAGTCTATTTGTATACTAATTATTTTGATCAGATAACCTTCTGTCGTGTAGAGCAATCCTATAAAGTACGGTCCCGTATACTTCATACTTCCAAAAATATGTTGTCTTTACAGTAGGCTATTTGTTCAGTTGTGCTAGGATTAGGTACTCTAGTATTTCGAAGGAACCCCTTGAATTCCAGGACTCTCCATTTAGTCTAGGATTCCCTGGACAATGCTATACGGGCTACGTATATCAATAGCGTCCCTCTAATGTTGTCCCTGACTCCTGTGATGTGATATGTTCCATCAGCCATGGCCAAAACCAAAGTATTGAGCGCGGTTGCGTTTAATTGGTGATTTCTATTTGCAACTATGAATGATATACATATACATATACATACATATATA